CTTGTTCCAGTTTAATTTTAACGTATCGTTCACTTTTAAACGATAATTCCAATCAATTCTTCCTCGACAATAAGTTTTTTAAAAACATCTTGAATGAATACAAAAATCGGTGAAATTCACAACTTTTATGATTCAACAATTTAGAAGAAATAATATTCGTCTATATGCAAATTAATATATTTTTTTTTGCAACGTTTCTCTATCAACAATTTAAAAAAAAAATTTGTATGCAAAAAATTAATTATTATTGTTAGAGTAAAAAATGTATATTTTTTTTTCAATGAACGTTTATCACAGACGTTATGAACTTCACCGATGTATGTATACTTCATATTATTCTTTCTCAATTGGTTCATTCACGGAAGAAAATGGAAGAACGAATAAAGTAACTTTTACTATACTTTAAAAGTAATAACTGAACTATCCCAAGTTCTTCTCATTTTTTGGCAATTTTTATTCTAGAAATAGTAAAATTTACTATTTCCGGAATAATTTTGACTATTTCTGGAGTAAAAATTAACAGAAATACGCAGAAACTGTGGACAGTTCAGGTTTCACTTTTAAGGTATAGTAAAAGTTACTTTATTCGTTTTTCCACTTTTCTCTGTGTTCGAATAAAAGTATCACATGCTTTATGCCACAGTAAAAACCCGGGCTCAAAATGATCCAGTCAGTAGAAAAACTTTGATTCGCAGAAAAAATGAGTGAAATAGGTGGCGCCACGTTCTATGTCGTTTAGCATTGGCTCACACGGAAAGAAATGCTATCGAAATTTCAGCCATAAACTTATGATTGAGATTTCTGGTTGAATTGGTTATACAGTCTGTCAAATTGGCAGGTAAGTTAGGTTATATTAGCCATGTGAAGTCTGATTCAGACATCTTGCTCTTTGGAAGTACTATTCGTTTGGTTGGATTACCCAAACTGTATGACAGTAACAGTGCCATGTTAATTCAGTTATACGATATGACAGAAACAGCAAGAATTATGGCAGTAATTACAAAAAATTTCTTTCAGTACATTTGGAACCGCAACAAAAATGAGCCCAGGTTTTTACTGTGCGGATGACCCCATTAAAACTGTTTGAATTATTACAGATTTTAATTAAATTCTGGTAACATTTAAAAGAATGTAGTCTGTTAATATGATAAATAAGCAAAAGAGAAAGGAGTATCTGTATAATAAAAATGAGGTCATCATTATCAATTTCCGATGCACTTTGACAAAGAAAAAAATGAATTCTCATCAGCCTTCGATAGCTCAGTTGGTAGAGCGGTGGACTGTAGTTGGTTATGATATAAAATGGACATCCATAGGTCGCTGGTTCAAATCCGGCTCGAAGGAAATTTTTTTCACTTTTTTATTTTTTTATCTCCGCATTATCTGAGGTTTTAGGGTTTCGTGGTCCAGGGCCGGAACCCTTATATAGTTTTTGCTTTGGTGTCCGTCTGTCCGTCGTACACCGTATGGTAACGTTTACCATGTCAACGATTGCTATGGTAACTGCTGTCATGTCAACGGTTATGGTAACAGTTACCATAGCAACCGTTTCCATGGTAAACGTTACCATGGCAACTTTTTTCTATAGCATCTGCTTCCATGGCAACTTGAAATATTTTGAAATTAATAGTTGTTCGTCTTTACCACGAAATTCTATGATGGGGGCGCTTCGCACCTTCTTCTCTAATATTTTTTCTAATTTAAGAAATTTTCATTTACTGGGCATTCAATATTATAATTAAGTGAGGGAAATTAAGAAAATGTTTAATTGTTTTGTTGAGAAATAATTGTAGTTTTAAAAATTAAATTTTGGTATATTTAAAAGAATGCAGTCTGTTAATGATAAATAAGCAAAAGAGAAAGGAGTATATCTATAGTAAAAATGAGGTCATCGTCATTAATTTTTGATGCAGTTTGAGAGAGAAAAAAATAAATTTTCATCAGCCTTCGATAGCTCAGTTGGTAGAGCGGTGGACTGTAGTTGGCAATTTAAAAAGAATGGTTATCCATAGGTCGCTGGTTCAAATCCGGCTCGAAGGAATGTTTTTGTACTTTTTTTCCTTCAGTTTTTATTTTATGTTTTTTTTTATTTTTTCGAAGTACACCCTAATGAGAAAATATTAAAAAATTTACCTAATTTGCACTAATACATATTAAAAAGTTAATCAATGACACAAATTAGTTAAAATTTTTACTAATTTACATTTATTTCGCATTCAATTATTCGAGCAATTATTATAATTCTTACTCTCTAAATTTGAATCAGCTAAAATACACTGATTTGCAGCGAGTAGTCGCTGATTGAAAAAGGTATAAGTATGCAGCTGCGAATCAGCGACTAACAACTATTTCAATCAGCGGAATACTCCATTTTAAAAATAAATTTATCTTCCGACGAAAATGACCGACGTTCGCCGATTCGTGTTTCGCTATTTTATTAGCTGTATCCACTGATTTGCAGTGAAAACTTTATTCGCTGATTCAAAGAGTGAAATTTTAGCTAATTCAAATTTAGAGAGTAATTTTTCAGTTTATTTGGAAAAAAAATGATTTTTTAAACAGATGTTATTAAGGAATATCTCCGGCTCCAGTGGTGCTCAGTTCCTTGCGACTAGTTTATACTAATCAACAGCTCACTTCACTGTCGTGTTTTCTCTTATACTTGACTCTCTTGAAATATCAATAGATAACCTAACTTTTCTACTTCAAAACGTTGTAATTCAAAAATTAGCATGGATACCACTACTAAAACTTTTTTTTATCTTATTCTATTAACTCCATTCTACAATATACTCGTTTTTAAAAAATATTTATCGATAACTTTTTAAATAATTCAATAAAATGTATGAGTTTTGCATGTTCAGATTAGGAATTCTATGTTAACTGGTGCAACTTTGAACCCAGATTTCTCAGTTTTTAGCATGGCAAGGGGTACTGGGTTTTTTTATACCACTTATAAAGTACATAAAAAGGAACATTTTCTCAGAGTTTAAAAAAATTCTAGCGAAAATCGATTTGCCGGAGAAATACTTTAAGTGACTTTAAATTTCCGTTTGGATGATGGAAGTTAAGGATTAGTTGATTATTTATTGAGAAATAATTAGTTTTTAATTAAATTTTAAATATTAAGATAAATATGACCTGTTGATGACAAATGAGTAAAACACAGTTTTCCTAAAAGTATCAAATTGAGACCAAAAATTGCATCAAATCTTTGCAACGTTTTGATGCACATAAGTTATATCAAAAAGAGATCGTCTTGTGAATCATTTTTAGAAATGATACACGAAACAGTCTCATTTTTTGATGCAAAAATTTAATCAATCATGGCCGAATTGAATCGACTCAAAATTAAACGAATTTTTTTCAGATATTTTGGTAATAGTACAATTGCGGAGACCATTTCACTATTTAATTTGAAAATGAAAATAACAGAAAATCAAAGACAATGTGCAATTCGATAATTAAAAAGTGACAGCTTATAAACATAACCTAAAATGCATGAGAAAAAATTTGTCGATAAAATCAATATAGCCGAGCTTTTTAGAAGGTAGATGGCAGTTTTGCTTTTTATAAAAACGATTCAGAAAAAATTTAAAGAAAGAAAATAGATGAGTGCTGCCATCTACCTTCTAAAAAGCTCGGCTATATTGATTTTATCGACAAATTTTTTCTCATGCATTTTAGGTTATGTTTATAAGCTGTCACTTTTTAATTATCGAATTGCACATTGTCTTTGATTTTCTGTTATTTTCATTTTCAAATTAAATAGTGAAATGGTCTCCGCAATTGTACTATTACCAAAATATCTGAAAAAAATTCGTTTAATTTTGAGTCGATTCAATTCGGCCATGATTGATATAAATTGATTAATTTTTTTGCATCAAAAAATGAGACCGTTTCGTGTATCATTTCTAAAAATGATACACAAAACGATCTCTTTTTGATATAACTTATGTGCATCAAAACGTTGCAATAGAAAAAGATACAACCAAGTTTACTGTGAAGAGAAAGGAGTATCTGTATAATAAAAATGAGGTCATCGTTATCAATTTCTGATGCACTTTGACAGAGAAAAAAATAAATTCTCATCAGCCTTCGATAGCTCAGTTGGTAGAGCGGTGGACTGTAGTTGGCAATTTAAAAGAATGGTTATCCATAGGTCGCTGGTTCAAATCCGGCTCGAAGGAATGTTTTTTTTTGTTTTTAAAAATAATATTATATTTTTTTTAAACAATTACTGTATTTTTTTCTAGTAATCGTTATTTTAAAGAAAATTCACATATTTTCCTTGATTAATTATTTTATTGTTAATTTTTAAAATCGGCAAAAATAGATTTCTTAAAATTTTGATAACGTAGAATATTAAACAATTTTTTTTCCATATTTAAAAGTGTATGTTGTTAAAAATTTAAAGACAATAAAAATGCTATTTATTATATAATTTTTTATCAACATATTTTTATAATTAAAAAAATTTTACAATCGTAGAGAATGTTTCAGTTAATAAAAAAAGATATTATTCTTTACAAAAATTGGATAAAAATAATCTGTTTTGAAAGTCAAAATAATTTTTTTAAAAATTATTATTTTAACAAATATTTTAACTCAACATAATTTGTTCCCAAAAATTATTTAAATAAAACTTCTAAAATTGTTTGAAACAAATTGTTATTAAATTTTTATTTGCGTTGAAAACCATTTTTCAGTTTTGAGGTTATGTTAGAACCTCCATTCTCCAACAAAATTTCATATTTTGTTTTTATTATTTTGGTTGTGTCAACCAAAGTTTGGTTATACGAATTAATGTTTAACTGTGGACAACCAAAATTCTGTTGACGAAAAAAAAATTTTGGTCGCACAATTATATTAACCAAAATAACATTTTATGCTATATCAACTCAAATATTTTTTTCTCAGTGTATAGAGGTTATGTTATCACTTGACAATTATTAAAATTATTGCAATATTTAATTTTTTCTATGTTATAATTTACTTACCCCGATGAAGACATCGCATGAGCCTGCTGGCAGTTAATGGAACACCCTTGTTACAAGCCGCCCTATGTAATTCACAATGGTTGGCATAGATTTTTCCATCGCTACCGCAAACGGGTTTGTGACGCCTTGCACATCTCGTTGCACACACGCAGAGAGTGACTCCTCCATCCGGCGAAATTTGGCATTCTCTTCCAGCTCCGCAATATTTTTCTAGGCACGACTCTGTGAAAAGAGAAAAATGCAATTGTCAAAATTAAATGTAAACAGTGCTTGAATAGGTGCCAAAACTATTTCCCAAAAATATAAGAAACATTTCATTTTCGCAAAAATTCGTTTCTATTTTTCATTCCACGAGTGTAAAACAACTTTTAAATTTATATGGGACAAAATTTCTGAAGTGATCTAAAATAGCAAAAATATGAACATTCGGTTTTTTGGAAAATCATAACTATATTGTATAAAAAGGATGAAAAAAAATTTTCGAAAAGTTTTTTTCTACCCTTTCAAATGGTGCAAAAATAAAAAAATTTTCCTCTTTCTTTGAAAATCAAAACAATTTTTGGATTTTTTTTTTAAAGGACCCTTTGTATTTCTTTTTCCCCCCTTTTATTTTTATTTTCTAGACATATCGGGGAATAGTGTCAGGGTTGGACACAGTTTTGGTTTTTTGTTTATAAATATTTTGTTTAGATAAATTCAGTCAATTGTGGTATATGGGTGGAAAGATCTACAAAAGAGGAACACTTTTGCTGTGGACCGTAAATTGATTGGTCCAAAATTAAAAAAGTTATAAACATTTAAAAAAAAATCTAGTCAGGGTTGGACTTTTCAGTCAGGGTTGGACACTTTTTGAAAATCGAAACGCATTATTGATAAAAACGTAAAATAACATTTGTAATGTTTATTATTCTTATTTTTTCATGTTTATCTTTACTTATTGTTTACAAATTGTAAAGCTTCATGGGTTTAAAAAAGGAATGAACTCAAATTACAAAAAATAACGCTTTATTGTTCCAAATAACTCAATGAAATGATGAACAAAATTTACACAATTTAAGTATTATTTTTCTAATATCTTTGGCACAATTTTGCACTGAAATATCAATAAAATAAAATTTATTTATAAATTGTGTCAAATTCATAATTAATATGGGTGTCCAACCCTAACTAGAAGCATCATTTTCGAATTGTGCTAACCATAACCAGTCATGTGTCGCGATTCGATTTTTCACTTTTTTTCTTCTTAATTTATGTACCCCACAATACATTCAATAAGCTTACCTTGCCGAATTCTTGCTTTTTTTTACACATTTTTTAGGTTTATTCACAAGTCAAACAAAACTTTTTATGTCTCTTCGATTGCACCGAAGTCACAGGAGACGCTACTTTTGATTCTCCAAAAATGTAATGCCACAAAAAGTTAGGTTACACTACTAGAAGATTCGTCACGTACGCACATAGGTGGCGCTAGTGTTCTTATTTAAAAAAAGCCAAGTGTCCAACCCTGACACTATTCCCCTCTATTAATTAATTAATAAAATCAAAACAATTTTGTAAAATTAAATTTTTAAATTAGCGTGACTACATTAAAAATTTGTTTAAATTACAATAACTTCGGTTGTGAGAAAAGTCCATTTTCAAAGTTAATTTTAATTTTGTTGGATACTTTTGTTGTATAGGGTCAATTGGGGTAAATGGGGACAAAATCGCTATTTTTCAAAAATTACGTAAGTTTCTTCCTTTAAAAGGTAATATTTACGGGTTTATTTTTTTAAGTTGTTATTTACATTCCGAGGATTAGTTTTATGCAGCAGAAAAATTTTTAGATAAGCTTTAAACGCATGAAACTGACTGTCCCCATTTACCCCAAAATTTAGAAAATTTCATAAAATTTGGGGTAAATGGGGACAGCACAGTTTCTAAGAAAGTTTTAAGAAAAAAGTTTCCTTAAGTATATATTACTGTATTAAGGGATGAAAAAACTTTTAAAAAATTTGTAGTAGATATATGATAGTTAAAGCAATTGAAATTTTTTTTTATTTCAGTATTTTGTCTTGCATTTGAAAAAAACAGACTTAAAAAACATACCAAATTTTTTTCTTATTCCTTATGACTCCTATAACAGAAATTCACTTGAATTTTTGATTTTTGTTAATTTGGTTAATAATGACAAGCTGTCCTCATTTACCCAAAAAATTTGAAAACTCAGGGTAAATGGGGACAGCTATAGTCATTATTAACCAAATTGATAAAAATCAAAAATTCAAGTGATTTTTTGTTACAGGAGTCATAAGGAATAAGAAAAAAATTTGGTATGATTTTTAAGTCTGTTTTTTTTCAAATGCGAGACAAAATACTGAAACTGTTTGACTTTGATTTTCAAGTTTTTATGCATTGAGCGATAACTTTTTTTATCTTGCTGTCAATTGTCAAGATAATAGCTTGGAAATACTCAAAACAGGTGATCTGAGGTTAAAATATTGGCGTTGAACTTAATTTTAAAACTGTAAATGAAGCTCCAAAACCTCTTGTCCCCATTTACCCTAACTGACCCTATAGTTATTTTATTTTTTAACTACATTTAAGAAATATTAAAACAATTTTAATATTTAATTTTTTAGTTTCTTTGAAGAAACATTTCTCGATTATTGACGAAGTTAAAGTACACAACGTTTTTGATAAATGATTTTTAAAGAAATAATTTTTTAAAATGAAAAATTGGGACGCATAATTATGTTCTAAAAATCATTAGTTAGAATTTTCATTTTATAGAATTTCATTTGTTATAATTACTTTTGAGCCGAATTTTAATTTGTCAGAATTTTTATTTACTTGAATTTTAATTTAACATAATGGGCATTTTAAAGAATTTTTATTGGGTAGAATTTCATTGCATAGAATTTTTTTTCATGTAAATTTTCATTTGTACGAATTATTATTTGATGTAATTTTCGCAAATAATAACCAATTTTTCATATGACAGAATTTTAAATTAACCGAAAAATCATTTAACAGAATTTCTAATTGACAGAATTTTTATTTGTCCGAAATTGCAAATGGCCGAACAAACAATTGATAGAAAGATTTTGGCGCGATTTTTAAAATCAACTAATCAAAAATTATCTATAAAATTGTAATTGGTTGATTTTAAAAATCGCGCCAAAATCTTTCTATCGATTGTTTGTTCGGCCATTTGCAATTTCGGTCAAATGAAAATTCTATATCAATTAGAAATTCTGTTAAGGTATTAGTCGCGCGCCGGCTCTAACCAAAAGTTTGTTTTGAGTCTGACTCAGTCTGTGCTTAGCAAGAGGTATAGTTCTGAGTCAAACTTTTTGAAGGGTACAGGTAATTTTCACTCAGAGCGCCGCGTTCTCGCACGTGTAGAACTAAAGTTTTGATCGCGGCAACGTCGCAATCTGAATGTACCAGTGCTACTGAATGTTAGAGTCACAAAAAGTGTTTAGCTGTTTTTGTCGTAATTATTTAATACTAATCTATGTTGTGAAATTTTAAATATATTATTTTTTTATTCTACTCTATGAGATATTCCTACTTTCTAACTGTGTACTTTGCATGATTTTGAATTTTGTATGCATTCGCGCGCTACAGCGTTGCCAAGTTTACTGCTTTCCAGCAGTGGAACTTCATATAATTTAAAATTTTGTTAACTTTCTCCTAATATATTTATAGTTTGGTACGGTCAAAAAATTTCAGTTTTTTTGTATGCATTCGTTTCATGAGAATGTATTATGTGGTAGTTTTATTTTAAAATCTGACGACTGGTTTTCATTTAAATAATTATAAAGCAAATTCCTTACATGCATTAGGTGCTCCGTCCATGTAAAAAGTATCAACTTTGAAATGAAATTTTAAAGCTTAGGAACGGTCAAAATCGATGGGATTGGTCTTATTTTGTAGATAATTATGTCAGAAACACTCATGCAAAATTTAAAAAATATCTGACGAAAATGATTTTACGCGACTAATACCTTAAATGATTTTTCAATTAATTTAAAATTCAGTAGTATGAAAAATCGGTTATATGGAAATTATATCAAATTATAATTAGAACCAATTTTAATAATAATAAGAAAATAATTTTAACCAATAAAAATTCTTTAAAATGCCTATTATGTTAAATGAAAATTCGAGTAAATAAAAATTCTGACAAATAAAAATTCGAATAAATAAAAATTCTGAGAAGTGAATTTTTGGTTATATAAAAATTCTATAATATAGAAAATCATTTTGATGAAAATTCTGCAAAATAATAATTCGAACAAATCAAAATTCGGCTCAAAAATAATTATGAAAAATGAAATTCCATAAAATAAAAATTCCAACTTATAATTTTTTTAGAACATAATCATGCGTCCCGAAAAATTCTATAATATTTTTTGCCTATAAAATATTTCTTGTATACATTTTATTAATCACCAAATTATAAAAAAGTATTGTTTTAAATAAACAATTTTCTAATTTTACGTGTTAATTAAATAAAAATTGATTTCCAATCGTTGATCATAAATGTGTCATAAATGTCAGCATATCGTGATTGTTGTAGATTTTTTTTTTAAATCCCCAAGTTCCCCTGATTTTTGTAATTATGTATATTGTAAATTCTTATCTAAAATTTTTCTTCAAGTCTATGAATCATTGATTCTGTTATGTTTAATGATAAATTATTATATATAATTTTCATAGAAAAAATAAAAATGGTAGCTATATCTTTGTACAAAGTACATAAGTGAAGTGGTAATAGATTTCTATCAAAGCAAAAAGATAAAATGCAATAAAAATCATAATTTAAAGATAATTTCGAAATTGAAATCAAGATTAAAAAATTTTTTTTTAAAATATTTATAACTTTGCTCAAAAACTAAAAACATTTATAATTTATATAATATTTATATTTATATAATTTATAAAAATTATAATTTTAGAATAATAAAAACAAAAATAATAATTATAATAAAAAATAAATTTAATATACTGCTTATAATTATTACTGTAAATTAAATTTTTTAAATCGAATACACACTTATTTATGTCAATAAATTGAATAATTAGAAAATAAATAATTAATATAATAAAATAATAAATGTTGTATAATTAATTATTTAGGGAAATCGAAACAATGTAAAATAAAAATTATACCAATCAGTTTGTGAAGATAGAATGTGCTTAGTATGCTATAACATATTATTGAACGCTGAAAA